GAAAAATAAAAATGATTTAGGATCAAAACTAGGTCTTGAAGAGAAAATATAAAAAGCACTGATATGAAAGTTAGGCATGGTTATTCGAATTTTGGACTTTGAGATTTTAAATTTAAAGAACTAGCATATACACCACAACCAAAGAGCACATCATATGTGAATAAACATAATTTGACAAAATTTTCATAAAAGAACTAAAAGTAAAGAAAAGCTATTTCGACATCTCTAGCAAAGTTATAGAATTCTGGTGTTTCAAATTAGAACAATTAAAAAAATATTGAAAAGAACAATGCTAATATTGAACAAAAATATAATTAAACAGTTTAAAAATGCTATCGAATTAAAAAATGAACACTTAACATTAAAAAGAAGAATAGACTCTAGATCTCGCTATGGGGAAACAGTAAGTGTTGAAGAGCTGTTTGTCTAGTTGGCTGAGGCTTGTTTTGTATTTTATTAAATTACTGTGTCCAAAATTGTTCGGATGGAGCTTTTAGAAGATCTTGCGCATGATGAGCACAATTGAAAACAATGTGATCGGGATCGGCAATATTTCCACACTCACAAAGATTACCTGAGCTTCATCCAAAGCGATGAAGGTAGCTCTTGAAAGGGCCATGTCCAGTGGCAAACCAGGTAACTAAGGAAGAGATTGAATATAATTTTGATGATACTTTAGGAACAAATTTATATGTTCTTCGACCAGTTGTAACATAAATCCATTCTAGTTGCCACTTTGTCAACAGAAGTTTCCATGTAAATTGGACGAAACATACAAAAGTTGTTGCCCACAATTTCACAACTCGCTTCAATTTGATTTAATCAGTTAACTGTGATTGACGAGTATACACGTCATGGAAAAGCGGCACGATTTTGTGTATTGACGAGTATACTCGTCATGCGTATAATGAAATGGAAAGATAAGAGGAGGTTTATTTAGTAAGTACTGTACATAATGACAACGTAATAAAAACAGAGAAAAGGAAAATAATAAGAAAGACACCGGAGCTAGTGATTGATTATAATAAAAAAATGGGTGGAACGGATATGAGCGATCGAATTATCATAGTGTACTCCACAGCAAGAAAACGACTCAAAAAGTAATACAAAAATATATTTCTCCATTTCTTAGACATTACGTGTCTGAATGCATTCATATGATATAAAAAAATATGGAAACATTATCGCGTATCAACCTTTGCTTCTCAAATTTATTGAAGACACTTTTGCGACGTATCCAGTTGAAAGAAATAAATCGACACAAACTCGGCCATTTACACCTAATATAAGCCAATTAGGCGGGAATCACGTTTCGGATTACATACTCGGAACATCTTAAAAAAAAAAAAAAAAAAACCTACGCGAAGGTGTTCGCATTGCTACAAACGTAAAATCAGGAAGGAATAGCGTTACTGGTGTTCGATTTGCAAAGTCCCATTGTGTATAGTACCCTGTTTCGCTGAATATCACTCCACAGCAGGAATTTCAATTCTTACTTTTATATGTATAATATTTAATTTAATTTATTGCGTTTTTAGTTTAATATGTATGTAATATATGCTTGTGTTAACCAGTGGCGTAACTAGAACTCTTGGGCCTCTATGCAAAAAACTTTTCCTGGGCCCCTTCCCAATAAATTTAATGCTGCTTAAAAATAGGAATAAAAGTTAAAAGTTAAAAAAAACGCGAAAATTTTAAAATAAAAAAAATCCGAGGATTTTGATGGAGCCAATGTTTTCATGATGATTTTTATCACATCTGGATTAACTGTTAAAAATTAAAAGCACGTTCTTAAGGAACCAGTTTAAATGTACGTAACGTGAAAGAAAGAATAAAAATGGAAATAATTTTTCCTTGACCAACTGGTGTGAAATGAAATGTTTACTTTAGTCTGGGTGTAATATTTGACGTCAGATGATTTTAATCAGTTCAGTTTAACATTTTTTGTGTGCGAGTGTGGGAGTGCGAGAGACAGATTTTTCTCTCCTTTCACTTTTTTTCACTCTCCTTTCCTTATACTGGTAATAAATGAATAAGTCTATATAAAAAAAAAAAAAAAAAAAGGAACATGTCGACGTATAGCCTTAAGAAAAGGAAGGAAATATGTGTACTGATTATTCGATAATGCGAATTATACAGAAACAAATTAATATATCAAACAAGTACTTTATAATAAATAGTTACAATTAATTTCCACTTCCTCCGCTTTTTGATATGGGATTGCAAAAGGAGAAACCTTTCCTTTAGGGGGTCGCCTTTAATAATTTTCAGGTTCGAGACTAAGGAATACAAAGAAACTTTTCCTATTTTCCGCTCGCTGCTATCCCTAAACTGGGGTAGGTCATAAAGTTATTATTTCATAGTCGAATGCTAGAATTTTAACTTTTGCAAACACTTGAATTTAGCTGTTTCAGGTGCTTCCAAGGGCCTCCTATCTGCGCCATACAGAGAATTGCGTTACTGCACCATATAGGAAGGAGGCCGTTAAAAACTTAAAGAAAACGAATTCTATTATCTACATATACTTAAGGATTCTAAAGCTAAAAGTAAATTGGAATCAAATGAAGGCTATTCTCAACTATATTAATATTAACAATCATGCAAAAGGGGTTTAACACAAAATCAAAACATATTAAAATTAAAATAAGAATTTATAGTAGTACAAATTCTAAAAATAAAAATGAAAAGCAAAAGGAAAAAAAAATACAAGATAAAAATATAAAAATAATAATTAATCTTCTTTTATTGAAATTCTAATTTCGAAAGAATCAAGGGAAAATGAATTAAAGCTTCTATATATATGTAATGGAATCCGTCTTTTAAGTTTAAACATGTAAATGTAGTTCAGCAGGACATTTAAGGGCCCCTATGCGACGGCATTCCTTGCATACCCTTATTTACGCCACTGGTGTTAACTAAATAAGTAAATACTAATAATAAAATTTTCAATTTATAAAATAAACCCATATTTTTCATTAAATATCTTACCAACGCAACTTACTCTATGATTGACGGTAGAAAGTCCTCCACGAAGGCATCCCTCCCTTTAGGCAGATAGCCCTCGTTTGCTTTGCCATAACTGAATAATCCAATCTAATCTATCCTGTGATTGACGAATATACTCGTCATGGCTCGATTCTGGCGACATAAAACGATGCGCACTCTTAAACGAGGGCGCCACAGTTAACTGGTTAAGTAAAAGTGGGGAGAAATAACAGTTCTTCCTGTGAATATATGCCTTATTACCAAACGGGGGGAAGGATTACATATAATTATCGATTTTATTTTTTAAAAAAATCGCTTTTCACGGTGATTCCTTAAATATTGTAAAATTGATTTTGAAGTTGTCACGTTGCATGCATTACAAAATATAATTTTGCAACTTGCACTGATGCACATAAATGTTCTAAAATAGTCCAAAAACATGAAATTTAGCCCTATAGCTAACAGAAGATAATTTATCACTTCAGGTCAATTCATCTGATATGAAAAAATGGATTCCTATTTTTCCTTTAGTCCTACAAGAAATGCTCATTGAATATTCCGATTCTTAACGCTGATGAAGTGATTAACAAAATTACTCGTATTAAGCAACAAAAGAAACTACCTCTATGACTCATCTCTTAATGCGATAAATCTGCTTAAATTGCATTTCTGCCTTTGGTAAACGTAAGCGTATGTTGTAAGAAACATATATTTGTAAGAATACAATTTCGTAACTATGTATGATTAGATATTTATAATTACTTAAGTTGTAAAATCCAAAGTTCATCATTTTTAGATTCTAAGTATATATAACATATAAATTTATCATTCATTAATAGTGCTATGTAAAATAACAGAAACATTTTTTTAATGTTTGAAATTTAAATTTTTTAACTAATAATGTCTTGCATTTGTTAAGGAATTTGTCTTGCATTTGTTTGGAAGGATAATGTCTTGCATTTGTTGCATATTTGTTGGATACGCATGTACATATAACGGTTATATACAACGAAAAATATACAAAAGAACAACTAAGCTTATATAACAGCCGACTGTGAAAAAAAAAAAAATTACAGTTATATTGCTCTTAAAACTTTATCGGTACAAAAAGCCGTTATTTTAATTGACACTAGATTAAACTACTTTCATTATCTGTTACAAAATAATTACAGTGAATCCTCTATTAGTGACCTCTCTAAGAGGTCAACTTCAGGAAGAGACCTTTTGTATTTTTGAGAACATAAACACACGTTCTCAGTGAATATCATCTCTCTAAAAGTCCATCCACAGAGTTCTTAAACCCTCTAGTACTGCAAATATCATGTTTAACCACTTGTCTAGTTATTACAAGTTAGCTCGATCATCGAAAATTTGTCGAAAATAACTATCACAAGTTGACTCGCGTTTTATGGTTCATGACAAATATATTTATTTATTTCGAATAAATTTGTAATTTGTTTTGTGGCTGTGCTGGTGACCTTCAGGACGTTTTTGTTATGAGAATACGCGAGTTTTATGCTAAGCCTCTTTCAACTCAACATTAATTTCATAATTCGGATAATTATTTACCATTTATTTTGATTCATAAAAACACTAAAAAATACGAAAATATTTATAGAATCTCTTATGTCTTGCTGCACTAATAAAAACATTATAAAAAATGGATAATTTACTCATGAAAACTGAAAAATAAAAAGTTAGTTATGAGATTAAAGAGGGATGACTGTATATAAAGCATGCATATTAATATTAATTGTACATTTGCTATATTTTTTATTTTCTTTCAAGGCAGTGGAATCATAAAAAAATCACTTAACAGCTAAATGCTATTAAGTGATGAAAACTATTACATAAGAACGGTAGAAACGCAGCCATACATAACAAATTTATAAGAAGAATATGCAGCTAAAATTACTGGAAATCATAAATAAGCATACATAAATAAATGAGTTAAGTGAATAATATAACAGCTTACTACAAACACAACTGACAAGATAGTTTCAGCTTATACTTACACCCTGTATAAAAGAAGCCCATCAGAGTGACATAGATGATGGCAGAACATCAAAGAAAGTCATCCATGCAAAAAAAGAAATAAAATAGATTAAAATTACATTATATATTATCATGCAATTACAATTACTTATTCAAGTTTTAATTATTATTCAAGACAAAATTCTTTGGTTTTCCTGGCAAAAAACTAAATTTCCTCCTCAAAAGACACTAATAGTTTTAAGAGCGATAGATTAAAAACTCTCAAAAAAACATTCATAGTGCTCTTTCTAGTTTTTAAGAAAAGAATGGAATTGCATTATAATTCTAGTTTTAACGAACCTCAAGAGTAAGAAGCATCACTGGAAAAGCAGTTTTACAGGGATGAGTCCATTAAACATTGAGGTAAACGGCTTGGCGACATAGCGCCAAACTGCGAAAGTTTGGGCGATCAATTTTTGTTACCAACAGTCGCCGAACTTGGCGAACATTTTGGTACATTTTGGTCCTATACCTATGCAACTATAACTGGTTCGATTCCTATGCAACCAGGGGCGTAGCTATAGTTTCCAGCGCCCGGGCACAATTGAAGAATTTGCGCCCCTTTCTGTGTGCCAAGAATGGAAAACATTTCATTAAAAAAATACGTAGCATCAATTTGGTGCCCCTTGGATGCTGCTCCCAGGGACAGATGTCCTCCCTTGGCCCACCCTAGCTACGCCACTGTATGTAACTCAACTGTATCCGGCCTTATGCGACTGCAGCTGTCTATGCCTTCCATTTCTACGCAATGCTGATGGGCGGGAGCTCCAAAGACTTGCTTATTACACCTTCCGCCTTAGAAAAGACATTTATTCTTACATTCATTACATTACTATTAATACCAGAATTTATTTATCTCAGAAAGTCCTCTCAAGTGGTTGATGGTAAAAAAAGAGGAGCGGGAGAACCTCGGACCACCCCCCGGGGGTGTTCTCCCTCAAAATTGGGGTGGAAAGTTTAACAATTAGCTAGGTTCAGCAATACTTTAATTACCTGTGGTACTACGGAGGTGCTGGCCTAGCTTCTACCTGTACCTGTCTATGCCTTCCAATAATTTCAAGAAATCGAAGGTACTGGATATTTCTTGGCGTATAGGGGAAGGAACTATGTAAGACCGGAGAGATCATCGGTTTAGTTGGTTCATAGTCTAGCCCAGAATCCTAAGAGATCAACGCATTTGAGGCTTTTTATACTGTCTTGCGCTTAATGTTCTTAGTAGTTTGAAGGCGTAACTATTGATTGTGCTCTGTCATATAGAGAAGAGTTGTATATGTATTTTTGTAAAAAAAAATACAGAACTGTAAAGTGTTTCTTTTTGGAAAAATAAAATTTCGTCAAGCTATCATCGGTTCTGTGTGCATTAAACCACTAAGAATTCGTACGCACAAAACAATACCTTATTCACCAGATTTCAACACATTCATTCCTATATCAAGTCAAAACCAAATTTCAGATCTTTATCATATAACGAAATCGAAATTAGCCTTGAATCTTAGATTTATGGCAAATGTGTAACACTGTTCCACACGAAACAGAGCCAGCGAGTTACTTAACACTATCTTGCGCTTACTTTTATATAATTTTCCTCTATTCAATTTCGTTCCAATATACACGTGCGTGTGTTAAAGAAATGAAAATAAAGCTCGGATTTGAAGCTACTTTCTTTTTCGAAATGCTCTACACTCCGTCATAAATACATTTCCCGCGAGACGAAAACAAATTTAATACTCGAATGGGGGAAAAAAGTAAAAAAGAAAATGCGGTATACTTACACTCTTGATTCGTCCGTTCCACCGGTCAGTCGAAAAGGGCCAGGGAAGTCACGGAGGAAGGCAGCAGATGGATGAAGGGGAAGACGGGGAGAGGAAGCGAGAGAGAGAGAGAGAAAAAGGGAGAGATATTAGATGGTGGAGATTTCATCCCTTCTCGATGATTGACAGGTATGCCTCGGGAACCCGTGTCAGTGGTCGAGCAGCTGGCCTCAAGGGTTCTGTGCACCTATTGCCTCAACCCATACTGGAAACTTTTGATGATTTCTTTTCCTACACCTATCCCCTCTTTCCAAATTTTATATCGGAAAATGCTCTTAAATCTTCCAAAAAGTGCTTAATATTCTCCCTTTGGAAAAATGTCCTCTTTATGTATTTGAATATTTATTTCTTATATAAATACAGGCGTTTAAAGTGCGGCATAAATTCATCTACAGTATACGTTATATCACATCGAAAAAGTTGTATTTGCGATACACAAAAAGGAATTGCAATTGTTATTTTTTTTAATTAATGAAGCGAAATTTACTTGTTCATGCCATAAATATAACCTAGAATAAAAGTTTCTGAATGTGTGCTATGGGAAATGCAAACACTAAAAATATATCGAACTTGCAACTGAACTTGTAACGCCGAACGTTAGCTTCAAATATCTTACGAAGCTTCTACAAATTTGGAGCGAAGTAATTAATTAAAAGTTTCCTAGAATAAAAGATCCTGAATGTGTGCTATGGGAAATGCAAACACTAAAAATATATCGAACTTGCAACTGAACTTGTAACGCCGAACGTTAGCTTCAAATATCTTACGAAGCTTCTACAAATTTGGAGCGAAGTAATTAATTAAAAGTTTCCTAGAATAAAAGATCCTGAATGTGTGCTATGGGAAATGCAAACACTAAAAATATATCGAACTTGCAACTGAACTTGTAACGCAGAACGTTAGCTTCAAATATCTTACGAAGCTTCTACAAATTTGGAGCGAAGTAATTAATTAAAAGTTTCCTAGAATAAAAGATCCTGAATGTGTGCTATGGGAGATGCAAACACTAAAAATATATCGAACTTGCAACTGAACTTGTAACGCAGAACGTTAGCTTCAAATATCTTACGAAGCTTCTACAAATTTGGAGCGAAGTAATTAATTAAAAGTTTCCTAAAATAAAAGATCCTGAATGTGTGCTATGGGAAATGCAAACACTAAAAATATATCGAACTTGCAACTGAACTTGTAACGCCGAACGTTAGCTTCAAATATCTTACGAAGCTTCTACAAATTTGGAGCGAAGTAATTAATTAAAAGTTTCCTAGAATAAAAGATCCTGAATGTGTGCTATGGGAAATGCAAACACTAAAAATATATCGAACTTGCAACTGAACTTGTAACGCAGAACGTTAGCTTCAAATATCTTACGAAGCTTCTACAAATTTGGAGCGAAGTAATTAATTAAAAGTTTCCTAAAATAAAAGATCCTGAATGTGTGCTATGGGAAATGCAAACACTAAAAATATATCGAACTTGCAACTGAACTTGTAACGCCGAACGTTAGCTTCAAATATCTTACGAAGCTTCTACAAATTTGGAGCGAAGTAATTAATTAAAAGTTTCACTTAATGTCATTGCAGAAATACTATTTTTTATTTATGATGTTTTAAATTATCTGATTATGTGATTTTTTATTTATGATGTTTTAAATTATCTGATTATGTGCTTCATTTAAGATTCAGTATCTTTCACAGCAGAAAGTGACAACGGAATTTAATTTAAAAGACTTTATTGTTTAAATAGAGAAGAGGGCTTTGTACTGTTGATACGTGAATAATTCGACAATACATCCCAAATATATGTTGAAATATATGATAATATGTCTTAAAAGCATAGTATTCTTTACTATTATTTAAAAGCAAAAATATTAACGCAGCTTTTAAACTTTTTTTTAATTATTTATATGCAGTGAAAAAGAAATTACTATTCTTCTTCTAATATTATGTTCATGGCATGATAAATTATAGATTTACAGAATTAATGGATCATGGTTAAAGTGATAAGAATTAAATTGGATAATTCTATGTCTTAAATTTTTATCTTGTAGAAAAATGCTGCACCATCTTTACTTTTTAATAAAGTTTCGCTATTTATTTGCAAAAGAAGGGAGTGATTTATCGCAATTGCATTCTACCATTATTAAATTTAGTAAAATTTAAAAAAATAATAATAATATACGCGGTTTTTAAAAGTGCTTTAGAATGAATTCCTTCCCACGTTTCAAAAACTTTTCAGTAAAAGTCATTTGTACTCGTATAAACCATTCAATTTTATTTTAACTTCGTTGTACGAAGTAAACGAAGTACTGTAATGGAGAAAAATCTCGGGTATCACAGTTTGACCGTTTCCGAATTCGTTTGGACGACATTTTTCCGTGACTGCACTTTTACACAGATTTTTTTTTTTTTTTTTCCCTAAAGAATTCAAAAGGGAAAGAAAAGGAAGAAGAAAAAAGAATTCAAAAGGGATTCAAAAGAAAAGAAAGAATTCAGAAGGGATCTTTTTGCGTCGTCAATACATATGTATCTCGCATAACTCAAAAACGACAGGCGGTAGAACGTTAAATTTTGCATACGGGCTGCTATACTATCTAGTTGTGCACCTGCCTTTTTTATTGCAATCGGCAGTACCAAACATATATATACCCACCCCATTACCCGGCTCAAAAGTCCTTACCTGGTCTTTATTCTCGCAATCGTTAGTTGTAGTCATATACTTCCGATTGCAGAAGTGTTTTAATTGACGAAAATATTCATGTTTTGGCAACGTCAAACTTAAAAAAAAAAATTAGACAAATTACGAAACCTAACTTTTAATGCTGTCTCCCGGTTCCTACACCTGGGAATGTTTTATAATAAGTTTGACTCCCGCACGGTAAAAATTGGGATAATTTCATTTCAAACTTTTCAGTTTTTGAAGTCATTTTCAACTTGCCTTGAAGGAGCGATTAATTATGTTGGAATAATTCGAGAAAATAAGTTTAAATGAAGTGCAGCAAAAAATGTCAATAATTTTATACGCCGCACAAGTTAGTTATGTGGTCTCTTGGTAAGATTCATTTTTTTTTTTTTTTAAGACGTTAGCTCTGATTACAATAATTTACCATCTACTTTGTTTCTTACAGGTAGAAATATTTTGCAGATTTTCCTAAAAATCTCCTCAATGCTGTG